CACACACACACACACACACACACACACACACACACTCCATCACTAACACTGCCTGCTCATTCTGGCCATTTGGTAACGTAACAAGGGTGTCTTTACTTTGCTCCTTGCTGCTGTGATTTATCTTAAATGCTGAACTCAAAGAAGCCCAAGTAGTTACTGGCCACTTCTGAACGCTGCTGGCTTAGGGGGAAATGTGTTTCATTTTAGCGTCCTGGTTTGCTGTACCATCTATTATTTTCCTACCCATTAATGGACAAGAAAGGCGTTCTGGTGGCACAGTTGGCTAAGTGTTGGGCTGCCAACGAAAAGATGAACCAAAAGGTTAATGAATAAATGGTAATCTTTTCAATCCGCTCCACAGAGTGTGACCTGTGTCTTAATCCAAAGGTGGCACCTCGCTGGTGGTTCAAATCCATTAGCTATTCACCAGGTGAAAGATAGGCGAGTCTACCACCAGGAGAAAGACAGGCAAGTCTACAGCCTCCAAAAACCAGCTGGAGAGTCAGCTGTGAGCCAGTTCCAACATGATGGCAATGAAGCTGAGGGGAGCCAACCTCAACCTCTCTTTTGGGGAAAAAAAAGATGAGGCAATTTCTTCCTGTTGAGATTTATAATCTCGATAACACCTGATGGAGGTCACCATGAGTTCCAACTTATTTGCCTTGGGTTTGAAGGAGAAGAGCAAGATATTTTAATGGAATGGAGGGGAAAACCCCTTAAAATATGAGTAACACTCTCACATATTGTTGGTCATGTCTACGTCATTCTTCACCCTGTTGTTGTTGTTATGTGCCATCAAGTCGCTTGTGACTCATAGCAACCCTATGTACAACAGCCCTACACCCTGCTCTGTCCTGTGCCAATTGTACTGCCTCCAACATACCCATCCCGATTACCCCAGTCACTGAATCAATCCACCTCATAGAGGTGGTCTTCCCCTCTTGTGCCATCCTTTCCAAGCATGATGTCCCTCTCCAAGTACCTGTCCCTCCTTACAACATGTCCTAAGTATGTCAGACAAAGCCCTAGGTTGCCCAATTTCTCTCTCCTACTGGTGCCTTCACAGATCTCTAGGAAGGTTTCATTTGAAATTATCTACACTACTTACTTCATGGAGTTAGGTCAGAATATTATTTGCTTTAGGACAAAGGTCACTGTAAGACTTACTTAAGCAGTGAAAAACTACAGAACAATTTTAAAAATAAGTTATAAAGATCAAACCAGAATGAAGCCAGAGTGAGCTTTGGACAATAAAAATGCAATTTTTGTTGCTAGAGCTGTAGCAGCAAAAGGTTGTTACATTACGAGTTCTCAGAGGCAGGGACCAATTTTTGTTCATTTTATGTCCCTCTGATGCTCTATGTGAATAGGAACTTGTTATTGTGCCTTGATGGCTACTCTCAAGCTTCCAAGACCCCAGACATTCCAGAAAGTGCGAGGATGTAAACCAGAAACACTGAGCATCCTACTAGGTCCATTAACTGCAATGTCCAAGGAAATGATGATTTTAAACCTCGAAGTCAAGGAATCAAACCCCATGAGGTGTTTTGTTTTACAAAAGAGGGCCAGGAGCTACTCCTTATATTTTTGGTAAAAGTATTTATCACATAACTTTTGTCAATTCAATTTTTTTACAAATATATAACGTTGGATAACAATTATAATGATTGGCGGTGCATCCCTAGCCTTACTCGATTTTATTTCCATTACCATTAGACCTCCTTTTCAGCCACCCTGGTTCTTTATACATTTATTTTTTCTTATCTTTTCATATAAACGAATGAGGTCTTACAATATTTCTCATACTGTGATTGGCTTATACCACTCAATATAATGTCTTCAACTTCCATCCATACTGTAGCAAGCCTCAAGATGCCAGTTGTTCTACTGTTGAAGAGTATCTCATCATATGCATACGCAACACCTATTTTTTTTAAAAAAAAATTTCTAAAAATCTCTTTATAATGTTGGTGGGCACTTAGATTGTTTCCACTTTGTCGCTCCTATGAATAGTGCTGTGGTAAACATGGCTGTACAAGTTTTTCAGTTTCTGGTTTCAAATTTTTGGGGTACATACTTAAGAGTGAAATGGCTGAATCATATGATAGAACAATTTTAATTTTGTTTAAGAATTTATGCACTATCTTCCACGGGAGCTGTGCCATTTTTCATTCCTTCTAGCATTGATAAGGGTTCCAATGTCTGCTTACCCTTGCCAACATGTCCTCTTCTGTGACATGTCTAAAGTTCTTTGCCAGCTTTCTGACTGGGTTATGTATCTATTGTTAAATTATTGAAGTTTTATATATATCTTGGTTATTAGATTCTATTGACTATATGGTTTCAAAAGATTTTCTAAGAGTCAATAGTGTGTTACTAAACACCGTGTTTACAAATAGTGTGCTTACTTTGTTGATAAAATCATTTTATGAGCAAAATGTTTTAATCTTAGGAGGTCTTGTTTTAATTTAAAAAACTTTTTTGTTTGATTTTTTTGCTGTTATTATGTTAGACAATTCACTGTTACATGCTAGAGCTGTCAGCATTGCATCTCTCTCTCTTTTTTTTTAAATTAATGTTTGTATTTGCCCATTTAGCTCCTTAATTCATTTGGGTATGGTGTGTGGCATGGAGCTTGTTTTCATATTTTTCCATGTGAAAATTCAATTCTCCCAACATTGTTTCTCAAAGAGACTCTTGTTTTCCTATTGAATGGATTTAGGAGCCTTGTCAGAAAGAAACTGAACAAAGGCATGTGGTTCTATTTCTGGACTCTCACATATTATTCCATCGATCTAGGTGTCTATTATTATACCAGTACCAGGCTCTTTAGAGTGCTGGCACTGAATAACATTATTTCAAAATCAAGAAGTATGACTCCTCCTACTTTGCTCTTCTCTTTTAACATTGCTTTAGCTATTTGAGGCATCTTGCCACTCCATTTAAACAGAAAATGGGTGTTTTTATTTTTTTAAATAAAGTAGTTGAGATTTTCGGGACTTCACTGACTCTTATAGATTGGGTAGCATTAACAGCAATGTTAAGTCTCTCAATCTGTGAGCCCGAAGCATCTTTGCATTCATTTAAGTCTTCTTCAATATCATTCAGCAGTACTTTTAGTTTTCATTGGCTCAGTCCTCTCTGTCTCAGTTAGCTTTATTGCTAAGTATTTTATTCTCATAGAAGCTACTGCATATGAAATTATTTTCCTAATTTTCTTTTCAGATTTCTCATTGTTCGTGTATAAGAACATTTTTTTTGGTTCTTGTTGTTGTTGTTGACCTTGACACTTTGTCAAATTCCTCTGTTGGTTCCAGAAATTTTCTTGTGGACTCTGACATTTTCTATATACAGGATCTGATTATCCCCCAAAAGAGAAATTTTATTTCTCCCATTGATTCCAGACTAGATAAGGAATGAGAAATTCCTGCATTCTATTGTAAGGAGTATACATTGGTATAATCACTTTGAAACAGACTTGCCAATAACTATGAGGGTTGAAGATGTATGTGCTCAATGCCCCAGAAGTCCTCTGTGATGTAGAAAACTGTCAACAAGTTAATATTACTCCTTAGAAGGGTAACAAAAAACGGCAATCTGTTCAATCACTGCAATATTATGCATATTTTAAAATGAATATTTGTTGTGCACCATTGAGTTGAAACTGACTCATCACTGACTGACCCTC